TTTTTTTTTTCAGCCACGGAGCGGCACGGCGCGTTACTGCATGCAAAAAAAAAAACAAAAGAAAAGAAACACGAAGAAAGATTCTGAAAGAAAGAAACGGCCATGTGCATGGGGTAAGATTGATTGATGATGTGCGCGTTGGCAGAGTGTAAGTTCTTGAACAGTATTGGGCGTTACAAGAAGCAGGTGTTTGGGGTAAGATTGATTGATGATGTCATTCTGATCACGGCGGCCTTAGAGGAGAAGGTTCGAGATGAGATTGTGCGAAGGTTTGAGCACTGCTACCCTGAGACACTGACATTGAAAAGGACTGATTTTGGCGATGGTATTTTACAGTTCTTGGGATGTGAAGTCCGTACATCCCAGCGGAACCCTTTCCTTGGATGTGTTCAGTTAACAAAGAACGAGGAGACTATCTSGACGAAAGAGAAATTGGTTTTTCAAAATGGCCAGTCCTATTCGTCTTGGGGGAGCAAACAGCAGAAGAACGCCATTATCGGGAGTCATCTACACCGGATCAATTAGAATACAACTGTACGGTCGGAGATCCCGTTCCGTGTCCTGACGGTAAAAAGAGAACTCCGTTTGAAAGGTTTTCCTTCTGACAGTTTTGAGAGGGTGTTGAAGAAGTTTGCTGTGGAGAAAGATGAGACGTGGAAGCAGACCGTGAAATTGCGGACTTCATCGTCCGAATGAAGTTCATTACCATTGGCTGCGATCTCACATACATTGCGATTCTGACAGCAGAAACCTGTACAGGATGCATATCAGGTTGTTTTTTAATTTGCTGTAGGTTTGTTTTTCTTCATTCTTCTGTTTTCAGTTTGGAAGGTGAGGTGTAGATGTCTTCGGTGATGCATGGCAACAGTGTCTGTCGGGATACCGGTTGTAACCTGAATTCTGTTTTTTTTGGACAGGGATACGGTTCAGTAGATGGTAAAGGCTTGGTACTGAGTATTTTGTGTGTAAGAACAGGTCACCCCAGGCAAGTTCAGATAACATCGGACATGGTAATTGTACAGGGTTAGGTTCTGCTTGGGGTAACAGTTGATGATGCTTTCTTAAGGCATTGGACAGGGTTTTTTGGATGATTGTCGGCAAGGCATTTGCTAGGCCTTGGGGTCTGTATTCGAAGGCCCTGCGATTTGTACCTTTCAATTCTGTGTTTCTGAGATACGGATGCGGTACCAGCACCAGGTACCTCGGTACCCATTACCGATACTGCGCCAGGGACGTATAATATAGCCCTTGGACTATAGGACAATAACTGCCCGGTTGGGCCTATGTGCTTTATCGAAAGTATGTTGTTTGTGTGTATAGGCTATACGGTAGGATATGTGACTTGAGTTAGCGTTTGTTTAGACTACCGTGGGTTACGGTTCAGGTGTTTCGACAACATCAGTATAAAGAGGATTAGGTACAGATTAGTCGACCTCTTCAGGACTGACGGGACTGGAAGCTACAGTCATTCCGGAGTGGGTGTATCCGAAGGTAAAAGGAAGGAGGTTTTGAATTGAGGGAGAAGTAGGTGGATACCCCCTGATGAAGGTAACGTGGCTGTTGCCGAAACGTGGCGTTGGGGACGCCGTTCCTGAATTGTTTAATTTTCAAGCATAATGCTTTGATTGTTAACACGATTTTTTTGAAGTTGACTACATATACTGTGTCTGTGTGAATTGATGCTGAGTGAATTTACGCTGACTGTGTGTGTTTTGTCTCACATACTCCTGTATCATTCAACTTGATACTGCACACGTGAACTTTCTCAGAGAGAAATTACCGAGATTAGTGAGCGTGCTATTCTCCGTCTGTGGTTACGTTTTCTGTTACTTCTATGTTCCGAAGCTCGGAGAGGAAGCGTTTTGAAGATGGCTGACCGAAGGGACTATGACTACAGGAGGACCAGATCTGGAAGTGAGGAGAGAGGAATCAGCAGGAGTTATGACCGACAATATGACCGAGGAGGCGAGCATTTCTTTAGGCGATCTCCACCAAGATGCTTCTCCTGTGGAGAACGAGGTCACTATGCTAATCAGTGTCGGTACAACAGACCTGCGATCGAGAGTCGTCCGTCGACATCTTTCCACAACGTTCAAAGAGGCCGATCAACATCGCGAAGAATGGAGGGATCGAGGAACGCGAGCGCATCTACATCCCAGGATCCGGAACTGCGTCAGCAATTGGAGGAGCTCACTAAGAGTTTGGCCAGTATGTCCAAGTTTGTCCAAGCAGAGAAACTGAAGAAGGCAAAGGAGGAGAAAGCGAAGAAAGAGGCGGAGGAGGATCAGCAAAGAGTAGTGGCTGAGAAGTTGGAGCAGCAAAGAAAAGAACGAAGAAGACTGGAGAAGTTACGAAAAGAGAAGGAGAGATTGGCGGAGATCGATAAGAAGGTGGAGCTCCAGATTGAAATCAAGACAGGGGAGTTTTTCGACCGAGTCGAAGCAAATCTGGGACCGGCACTGACTCTAGCCCGCAAGGTGAAGGGCAAAAAACAAGTGGTCTACGTATCTGACCCTGAACCAGGTTTAGGGAAGGACAGCGACAGCAGCGCAACGGAAGAGATCCGAGCTAAGACAGGGCGCCTGGTGATTAGTGAGAAGTGAAAACGTGGTTCTGAACTTGAGTTCGAGGACAACCCTTTGATGCTGACACCTGCGAAGCGGACTCCGAAAGAGAAAGCCACTACAGGAGGCACCCGGTGCTCTAGATCGAAGGCGAAAGTGAAGACTAAGTTGTCACCCTATGTTGAGAAATTAAAGAAGACCCCCGGCCAACCCAGTACAGTGGCGAAGTTGAGGTTTCGCAACCAAGTTATGGAGGAACTCCGTATTATGGACGCGCAAGAATTGCAGGCGATCTGCAAAAGTGAAGGAGTAGCATACAACGACAAGATTGATGCCATCTTTGACATCGCGAGCTACCGTACAAGAAAGACCTTCGGAGAAATGGAGCCGGTCGACCTATCTGGCCAGATGAGGCAGAATGATGATGAAACTACAACTGTTGAAGATGAGGAGCAAGATCAGGATGCTTGATGCGTTTACGGAGCTGACGAGATATGGCGCATTATTCGGCTGTTGACAAGACAACGTTGCCAAGAGGAACACGTGGATACTAAGGCGGAGGAACTACTTCGTTTGTGCATTCTTCTACTATCTCTGAGGGGTGAAATCTGATGGACGAAAAAGATTGTGGAGTCCTGGCGAAGATTGTACGAAGCACATGGGATTGGATTCTTGAATCTGAAAGGTTGTGTCTACATAGCTGTTTCACCATTCTGTAAGCTGCAGTACGTGGGTAAAACCACGCGTAACGTTGATGTACGTTGGCGTGAGCATTTGTCTGCATGTCGGAATAAGAACCAGTCGCATTTTCATCGGTGGCTTTGCACGTTTGGCTTGGGTAACTACGTGCTGCTACCTGTGGATGTCGCCGAGAATGAGGTGCTTCTGGAGCTCGAGGCTGTATACATCAAGCAGTGGTCTCCATTCCTCAATACAAGTGGCTGTAAGCGGAACAACCAAGGTTGGGGGAAGCGGCGCGTGGGGAAGAAAGAAAGGAGTGATAAACTGGGAGGAACTATACCTCGAGATTGTCGAGTTGTCCACTTTCGATCCGATGAGGAGACATTCTCGCTCGATCTCGGGCAAATCCTGGCAACTAAGGATAAAGCCGGTAGCAGAAAATTTGTGATTGAATCGAGTGGTGGGAACACCTGGGCGCATGGTTGGAAGGTGATTCGTCGGAAGTTTGGTGAATCTTCGGTGAAACTGCTGTTGGTACCATACATTTGAAGCTCTGCAAGAACCTCTTTGAGACAGGTGGAGAAGTACAAATCGAATACCTCCGTGTATGGAAATCAAAGGGTGACTACCTTAAACAGGTATGGTTACAAATTTTGAGGAACCCAGGTAAGCTAGCTGATGTTTACTCATGGGGACTGAAATCGATGATTAGAGTTTACAATGCCATCAAAGATTTTCGTAAAAAATCCACACGCAAGTATTTGAGACGTTTAGTATCTCGTGTGGTCCGGGATAGGTTTGGTTTGAGTATGTCTGCAGATCTTGTCATTCGAGTGAGGTTTGAGGATCGGGTTCGACTTGTAGAACATAGGAAGGTAATCAATGATGCGATTTTGGAGTGTGACTTACCTGTCTGTTTTCGGAAGCGTGTGCGGAAAAAGGTCCGCATAGTCTGGGTGAAAAACCGGTCTGTGGGTGACATTATCGATAGTCAGAGAGTTTATTCCTCTCGAGAGATTTTGACCTGTACTTGTGCGGGGTTGACCTACCCTAGATCGCGAGGTCACGTATGTTTCCGTTTAAGTCAGGGAGAGTTACACCACCAGATTTTAGCAAATGTGAATGATATTCCTCGCTCTGAGGTGACAAACCGTGTTGACTTGCTGCAGTGGGAAGTTAGCGCGGGATTTTTCGACATGGTATACCTCAAGGGCTCTTGCCCGAGGATCTCAAAGGAACGTTTGTCCACGTGTGTCGTTACTACTAGCGATAGCGCGAGTAATTTGTGATTGGCTGATATGATTTGTGTGAAGGAAGAGCTGGATGGTCTTGTCTTGACGCCGTTTGACAGAAATCCCGGCGATACTTTGGTAATGTGCCCTGCATCATACTTTTCGGCAATGATGAGCATTTTTGTAACTAGTTCAGGTTACCGTGTAGTTCAATCTCCGGAAACACAAATGCAGAGAGAGATCAAGGAGGATATCACTGACAGTGGTTTAAAGAAATTTCTCCGTTGGGACCAGAACGGTAGATTTGGAGAGTCATATGTGCTACCAAAACACAAGGACACAGAACGATTTAGACCAATTTGCCCAACCTTTAACGAGCCAATGGTTCGTACAGGGAGGTTGGTTGCGAAAGGACTTAACCACCTACTGACACGACTGTTCCTGCTACCCATTGATTGTCATTTCAACCTGCAAGCAGTTTCACATCTTGCAGGACGATTACATCGGATTAACAAGAAGATAAGGAATTTAACGCATGCATCTGAGGTTGAATCTGGGTCATACGACATTAAAGAAATGTTTAATCGACTTCCTCATTGTGATATCTTAGATGTTGTTAGTTGGATTGTTCACCACTATCAGGAGAAAGATAAATATTTCCTCAGGGTGAACACAAGAGGTAAGGGTGTGAGTTTTGGGGTTACCACAAGCGCTGACCACTGGCGACGCCTAGATCTGGGGGACATTTTGAAGTTCATCCGCTTGGAATTGAGTCACATTTACACGTGTACGCGTTGGCAGAGTGTAAGTTCTTGAACAGTATTGGGCGTTACAAGAAGCAGGTGTTTGGGGTAAGATTGATTATTGATGTCATTCTGATCACGACGGCCTTAGAGGAGAAGGTTCGAGATGAGATTGTACGAAGGTTTGAGCACTGCTACCCTGAGACACTGACATTGAAAAGGACTGATTTTGGCGATGGTATTTTACAGTTCTTGGGATGTGAAGTCCGTAC